TAAAAATGTATTATAATGTTAAAATGCACAATTTTTAATTATTATTTTTTATTATGACTTTATTGTATTATTTCTAATACAGTTTTATTGTTATTGTATTTTGTTCTGGCTCGAGACATTAACAATTAATAAAAATATATGTACTTATCTAACTTAAAATTATATATTTTAACAATGAAAGGATATTTATTTTGTAAATATGGTTTATATTTCTTTAAGGAATTATTACTTCTAGTAGATCTATTATATTTTTTCATACTATTTCTAATCACTACTACTTAGCGTTCTTTTACGTTATGCAGTTTATATTTATTTCAGTGAATATTTTTAATATAAATTTTTTGATGTCCAACTTTTATCTAAAACATTTCTTGGTATCATGAATAGTTTCTAACTCACGAGTATAGAAGAAAATCTTTTTAAAAAATTTATTCCTATACTGTTGTTAAATATTGACAATTATGACCAAGGCTCAAGATATTTTATTAAAATAAATATTAGTATTCTTAGATGCTAACAATAATAAAACCTGAAAAATATATATTTGTTGAATTAATTAATTAATTAATTAATGAATTGATTAATTATCTGAATTTTATATGGTCTAGGTGTAAATCCAGTAACCCATGTGAACAGCGTTGTACGGATAATGGGGTTGCGGTCACATGCAGCTGCGATCCTGGTTACGTACTGGCGAATGACAAACGTTCTTGCATGCCTAAATCACCGGAAAGCCGAAGTAACATTCCAGACGAGGAGGAGGACTTTTCATCTCTTTGTCCACAAGGTTATCGTTACAATGCTACCAATCAGGTTTGTGACGGTAAGTGTTAATAACTCATTAGATATGAGTAGTTATTAATTAATATTTCTCAAATGAAGAACTTTCGAACGTTTTAGCAGTGCAATAGTTTAATGGATTTTTATGGATTAATTTACAGTGTACATACATCATAGATTATGGCTGTTAAATTGAAACGAGTTTAAACAAATTTGAATATATTTAAGCAAGCATATATTTGAGTCGAAGTCATTCAACTCATTCGAATTACTTTCTTTTTTGTGTGTTTTCAATACATTTTGACATTACGAAAATTTTGGCGTTTCAAGTTGATTTTGAAACATAGTTTATGTTTGTTGAATTTTTAAAAGCATCGATAGTGAAATATTTTCATGAATTAATTCACAACGTACATATATATACAATGCATGTTATTTTAAACACATTTGAACAAATCTGAATAAGTTCGTACAACTTTGAGCAGTTATTCATTTGAGTTGCTTATTTTCATTTCTTTTTCATTTTTAATATGTTTTGACATTACAAAATTTTCGTCGTTTCTCGAGTTTTAAGTTTATTTTCAAGCATATTTTATGTTTGCTTAATGATATGAGCTTTATTTTCAAACGTTATATCTTTTTTGTGATTTTGCGCTGTAATTTCGCTTATGTCCATGGTTACTTTCGTTGGCATTGTATATCCCACTGCTTAGACGTGAACGAGTGTATGGAAAAAGGATTGTGTCCTGGTCGTTGTGAGAACACTATAGGATCTTATACATGCATGTCAAAAGATAGACTCAAAACTGTTCCGTATGAAGACTGTCCTCCTGGTTATCAATGGGAATTGGCAACAGGTCTTTGTGCAGGTATAAATACATTTCATACCAAAACTGCTCAATCTTTCATATTTTTTATATTTTATAATTGCGATTTTTAATATATTTTATCCACATAAACTTATTGAATGTAACTCTGGATGTGTTATATGATGTATTCATTTATAGTATGGGAGTAAATTAAAATTGTTAATATACAGGAAATATACAAGAAAATATTGTACAATAAGAGTTAACTCCTTTTTGCTTACATACTTTGATGAATACCTTACGAAAATCTATCAAAGCAGACCAGAGCGAAATTTGTTTCAAATAATAATTTAAGATCACTTATTAAATAGTAAATTAAAGAAAAAATATTTTTTTAAGTGATATTAATTATTATTTGATTATTTGATGATGTAGTGTATATTTTTTAATTAAAAATTTGTTTCTAAAATAACATTCAGAATAAGTGTTGAACAGTAAGTATAGTAATAATTGTGGTAAAGCAGTAATTATGTAAACATTTGACGTTGTATATAAAAAGATCAATTATTTTCATAAAAATTAAATAATAATTAATTTATTTAGTACAGTGATATAAATAATTTAATTGTAAATGCACTAATTTAGTTTTTGTCTGAAATATTCATCTGAAATATTTCAACAAATATGTATTTAAATTCATATGTAGATTATCATAGGTATTACATTATTTCGTTTGAATATCGTCAATTTTTAAGCTCAATTTAATCTCACTAAGGACGAACAATGAAGAATATACTTCAATTATGGAATTAATGTCTGTATATTTTCAGTGAGAAGAAAGTTCAGCAATACAAATTGTAAGCATTATCGTTTCACTATCACATGGAATGATTTTATTTTTACCAGTATTCAGAACGTAACACTGAAAGATCATAAATTAAAATTGCTACATAATTTTTTAGTAAAAAATAACTTTTTAGTTTTAAGAAAAATTATACAGAACTTCAGTTATACTTCTTTTCACTAATTATGCTACAAGTAAATAAAATAGAAATGTTATTGTGTTCGATTAGTAATTTTAAAATATTATTTAGGCCATCAGGACACATAAAAATGGGCAAAACAAAAACTCTCATAAATAGTGATTATAAAATTATTGATATTTGATAATATATCTATATGACATTTTGTATTTAAACTCACACCTCAGATTGATTAATGAAGTTTTGTTATGGTGAAACATTTTGTATGTTCGCATGATATAAGAAATTATTTTATTAATTTTTATTAATCATATGAGTAGAATTGTAATAAGTTATTTGTTTATACAAATATAAGAAAAAAGATTTATAACTATTTAAGTGTATTATAATATTTAATGATGTGTTAATCACATAATTGTATGTGTTTTGTAATTATGAGTAATTACACTAATTATAATTATACTCTGTTATATTATAAGTATTATTTTAAGAAAATCGTAATTAATAATTGTAATTTTCTTCCTAGAAGAAAAATGTGGGAATATTTTAATTTATAAGCAATTTGTTATCTAATTTCAATTCTTGTTTTTAGATATAGATGAGTGCCTTATATTACCAAAACCATGCCCTGCAGATAAAAATTTTTGCGTGAATACACAAGGAAGTTTTAGTTGCCTAGAAATGAAAGGAGTAAAATCGTGTCCTGCTGGATTTAAATTTAATAAGTTGTTAGAGCAATGTGAAGGTATTTATTACACAATTTAAAATATAAGTTTACAATTGGATATGATACATATCTGTAATTAACTGACCTTGTAAATATTTAACATTCTATAATAATTAATTTATTTATAAAGTACTACATAACATTCGTTCAACTTTAAAATGAATTTCTTGTCTTTAGTTTTGTAATGAAATATTCCCTTTCTAGATGTTAATGAATGTGAAGAAAAAATACATAGTTGCTCAGAAGCAACAGAAGAATGTCGTAACACCGAAGGTGCTTATGAATGTGATGTAAAATGCAAACAAGGATTTGCTTACGATGTTAATTTGGGTACCTGTATAGGTAACTATTCTTAGATATTTTGTTTTATTAATATGATTATTATTTAATCGAATGCTTCACCTGTTTGATAATAACGAATATGATAATGAACTGTTATCTATTATTTCAACAGTAAGTTTCTTCTGCTCTCATATTTATAACTTCTTCTATAGGTATGTGCATGTATAAATATATTTATAATTAAAAACTACCTTCTGTATCTTAATTAATTAATCGAATGTCTGGGAATAGTTTAATTCGAATGCTAGTACGTGAGTTGGTTCAGCATGTACTTTGTTTGCATGTGAGTAAGAATTTTCTTAGACTATTTATATACTATGTAATTTGTTTGTTTAAATGATTTATTTAATCCTCTTATTAAATTGATGCATCTCTAAGATTAAATAACCATCTCATACATTTATTTAAAAGATAATCTTTCTTGATAATTTTATTAAGCACTCACTACTTCTCTTCTATTTATATAATAAATATATAAATATATAATTAATAAGAATTATAAATATTTAGTTATTAATTACATTGTTTATTATTTATTATATATTATATTCATAGATGTGGATGAATGCGTTAAGCTTAGTAATCCCTGCCCGAACTCAAATACCTCATGCAAAAATATAGTAGGTAGTTACGAATGCTTATCTTTAAATCATTCTTTATCTTCCGGGCGGTTTCGAATCGAGAAAGAAACAACTTCATTGAATTGTCCTGCGGGTTTTAAACCAATGAAGGATATTGAAGAAGCATGTATAGACGTGGACGAGTGTAAAGAACAATTGCATTCGTGTGAAGAAAACGAACAATGTATTAATGATATAGGAAGTTATAGGTACGTTTCTTCTACATTTTACTTGAATGTATTAAACAAGAATTGCTTTTAATTAATAATGGTAATCACCAATATCTATTTACTTTATTTCATTAGATGTGAAGTAAAACAGGAAAATGCAAATATAACTGGGAAGCAAGAAAATACTCAAACTTATTCATATCGTACAACGCATAGATACGAAACTTCAATGTCTCCAATTGTTAATCAATCGATGATTTGTGAAGAAGGATTTATTTTTGATCATCGAAGTTCAGATTGTATTGGTATAGGACTATCATTTCTTATAGCAAGACATTAAAAAATACTTCGGATCTTGTTATAGTTGTTATTTTAATCTTATTAATTATTGTTTAATTTGTTTAATTTGAAATTAAAGATACATATTTATTTTCGTTTGAAAAAATATTTACATTATATATTTATATTATTTTGTAATAATAACCACTTAACTTATTATCCACTATCATTATTTCATTTGATATTCATTTATAATCGACTATTTCATTTTAATTGATCATTATTTTTGTTTTGACAGATATTGATGAATGCAGTAATGATTTATCAAATTGTACCACCGGTGAACAATGTATAAATTTTGAGGGTGGATATAGATGTTCTCCGGTATGTCCATCTGGTTTTCAAGTACTTAATAATAGTTACCATGCAAGGAGAAAGGAAGAACTTTGCCAAGATATAAACGAGTGTGCACTTGGATTACATTCTTGTAATATATCAACTCATTATTGTGTCAATACAAACGGTTCTTATACTTGTGAAGCATTTTCAACAACAACGATAAGTTCAACAGCGATTAATAGACCGTTAGGTACTCATAGGAACCATAAAATGCAGGTATTAATGTATAATAGTAAATTTACTAATTTACCTTTCTTATTGTAAATTCAAAATTTTAAAGGATTGTTTTTTCTTTTCAATTAAAAGATAATTTGAACGTTTAAAAGAAATATGTACAATTTATTTTCTAGAACATGAATCATTATTTGATTTTGGAGCCTTGTAAACATGGATATACTAGAGATTTACAAAGTGGAGAATGTGTGGATATTGATGAGTGCGCAACGGGTACAGGCTGTCGAGACCACGAACAATGTCATAATACCCTAGGTAGCTTTGAGTGTTCACCACTTTGTACCACTGGCTGGTATTTTAATACAGCTACAAAAGGTTGCCAAGATGTTGACGAGTGTCTTTTAGGCAGACACGATTGTCCACAGGGCACTCATAAATGCGTCAATATAAACGGTTCCTTCTTATGCGAGTTGATACTACCTTGTAGCAGCGGATACAAACGTTCTTTTAATGGCAGTTGTATCGATATCGACGAGTGCTTGGAAAATATGCACACTTGTCAATTGGAATTACATCAGTATTGTGTGAATAAAAATGGCAGCTTTGAATGTTTGACTAGATTACCTTCTTGTCAGGCGGGCTATGAATACTCCTTAGCTACTAAACGGTGCGAAGATATTGATGAATGCGTTACTGGTCAATACAAATGTGATTCCAGATTACTTGAGAAGTGCGTCAACCTACCTGGAAGCTATAGGTATACTAATTTAATACTTCTTTATGAAAAATTAAATGTTGTATATTTTGTATAGATTATTTAATATCTCATATTATTTGCATAAGTTTTATGTTTTTCGATGCTATATAATTTAAGAATTATTTAAGCACAATTTGGAATTTCTTTATTTAGATTAGGTACAAGAAGACAAAGTGTATAAATCTTTTACCTATTTTAACGTGTTCAGGTGCGAAAGACCTGCATCGTATGGACAACGTCAACGACAGAAACCTGCTTGTCCTTCCGGCTTTAGATATCATCCTCGATTAAGAAAGTGCACAGGTATATGTTAACAAGTTTTCATTATTAAATTGCATTCAATTGTAGTGGTGTGATATTATACTTTATAATATTAAATTGTAGTAGTAAATTTTTACTGCATTAATTTTTAAATGTTCATAATCTTAATTTGTCAAAATGTAAAACAAATAGAATAACTTTTTAATTAAAGTTCTTATGAATTAATTTTCAATAATTTATAACTTTTTCAGGATGGAAATTGAAAAGTTTTGAGTCAAACGTATAAAGCTTAATTTATTGAGAAATGTAATGAATATTTTAAAACAGCATGTATGCTTGCTTGTTGCATGTAAAGCAATTGTATCGTTTGTATGTAATTCAAGCTCATTGTTGTTAATATACACATATACATTAATTGTAACATGTTTTTTCGTTGCTTGTTCTATGTATGCAAATAATTCTGATAACATATTACAATACAAATAAATATCCTAATTTCGCTAAATTTATTTATGATCAATATCAATCTCTTAAATTTCTTGATTAAATAGTGTATGTGACATGCATTACAATAATAATTTAGACTATTTAAAACTCCTTTCCGGAAATGTTCATTTTTCATTTTCATTATTCAACTTACTATTTACATTACATTAAAAATTGTTTATTACGATAAAGATTGAAAATATTCCTTGCTGCTTGAAATAGCTCATAATGTTACAAAATGTTATTTAACTTGATTCTTTTAAACAAATTATTTATTAGAGATATACAATCACATTTAACAGATATCGATGAATGTGCTGAAGGCTTGGATACTTGTGAAGGAGAAGTTTGTTATAATCAACCGGGAGGTTATAGTTGTGCAAAACTTCTAAAACCATTGACTAGAAGACCACCTACAACAACTACAACTATGCCACCAAATCAAAAATGTTTTCCGGGGATGAAATTGGTCAAGAATCGTTGCGTTGACATCAACGAATGTCGAGAGATAGAAGATGCGTGTACTAGTGACGAGGAGTGCATTAATACAATGGGAAGCTACAAGTGTGAATGCAAGATTGGTTTTAGACGCGAGAATTTAACTCAAGCTTGTGTGGACATTAACGAATGTCAAACGCTGGTACATATTTTTAACGTTCATGTCATGAATAACATCGGTGTTGGTTAATTTTTCAAGAAGAACCATTCGAAAATTTAAATTTAAATTAGAAAATCTGTAATAGAACAGATTTTAATATCTTCTTATTTTTATATTATAATATTTTTTATTTGTATTATGTAGTAATGTAAAGAGTCCCTGGAACATAAAAGCTTATTTCACTCAACGTAGTATTGAGGATGACTACGTTTTTTAATTTTTCAAGATCGTTAATATGACTATATTATTCTATAAAATATTCGTTTTCAATGTTAATTTATTTTTTACAACAAGTAGAGATTTCTATATAATAATTATTATATTAGAAATTGTTTTTCTGAATTTATAAACGTATTTCTCGTCTTCATAAATATATAAATAATCTTGAAACATTTTTTTCATTCCTTATAGTAGTTAACTGATCTTCATTTGTAGGATGATGTCCTATCAATCACTTTTTGATACTTCTTAACAGAAACAATAAAAAATAATGAAAGTTAGAATTTAGATTATGAAGGACATTTTAATATCTAATTTTAATATTAAACGTTCTAGTAATTGCTATGTAATACATTTATGATGTGCTAAAAGATTATCATAATGACAGAACTAGGAATCTATTCATTGGCCATGATTCATATCAGATAACTTGCACTGTAGTATATCTGTCCTATTTAGTTATTTGCAATTTTATTTAGGAAAAGATATGAACTCTTATAAAATAATGATAAAAAAATCTGAGCTGTGTAATTTTGCATTTTTGATACACTGTTAAGTGCCAAATATAAATTAATCAGTTATACAATTGTCCTCAAAGAATAACAAAGATAACTGTTTTCAATTATCATTATTACAAATTAAACAATTCCATTGAAATGTCGTTTAGTGTAATAAACGTTATTTTTGTTATAGGAAGATAACTGCTCCCACGGGCAGAGATGCGATAATACTATAGGTAGTTATACTTGCACTCGTTACCTATCATGTGGTACAGGATATACGCTAAATGCAGCCACAGAGATCTGCGAAGATGACGACGAATGTCTACTTGGTACACACGACTGCGGTGGAGGTTATCATTGTAGAAACACATTTGGTTCTTATCGATGCGATCGTAACCCACGTATACCGGTTGCGCAACCTCATTTTGCTACCACAGTAACACCGACGACAACCACAACTAATAAACCAAAAACCACATCTGTTTCTACTACTTTACCAACTTCTCAGGAACCGTTTAATTGTCCACATGGATTTGAACCCTTTCCTGGAGGGAAATGCGTAGATATAGATGAATGTCAAAATAATCCAAACATTTGTGGTAGGACAATGAGATGTATAAATACCCTTGGATCTTATAGGTACATTAATATATATATTGAACCTATTTATTGTCTTTGATAAATATATATAAGATAATGTTGAAAGCTAATACAGTAGACTTCCACTTATCCGACACTGCTTTGATCGACCATATTCTCATTAACAGGTCAGCAGCGTAACAACTGATATATTTTACAGGAATAATTTATCTATCATTGATGAATCTTTTATAAAATAATGACGTAATTTTATTTCAGTAAATGATTTAATAAAAGAAAGTAGGTAAAAATGATTAATTTCTCGTATAAGTAAAAATTCAAAAAATTGACTTCTTCGTGTATTATATATACATATTATTCATTATCTTATATCATATTTATATTTGTAATTTATGAATGATACTTAGAATGTATTTTCAAATTAAGCAGTTATTCATTTATCCGGATAGGGGTTTAATCTCTCAAGAATCGGTTAAGAGGATGTTTAATATATGTATAGACATAGAGATAGATAAATAGACACATCTGTTCTCTTGATTGTAAAGAAAGAGGACATTGATAATTTTATTGAAATTGAAAATATAGCATACCTGTTATAATGGTATATTATTTTAAGAACAACTTGTAGAATTATATTATTGTAATTAATTAAATAAGTGCTTCTTTCCAAATTTTATATGATGAGAAAAGCATAAGTAGTTATAATCGTAATGTAAAATTAATTATAATAGTAAACTGTTTAATGAAACTTTATATAAGTATATTATAAAATTACTTTCTACTAAAGGAAGATCTTGTTTCCAAAAGATAGCTATAAATCTTTAATAACATCAAAAATTTTAAAAATTATGAATTAAATAATATGGTAAAGTATCAATGATATGTAGATCGTCATATAACGTGTTATTATGCAATGAAATGTATTTCTTGATTTAGAAATATCAATATAATAATATTATATGTAATAATAATAATATTTAAAATTTTTAATTTTAGGTGTATATCTAAAGTGATATGCGCTAATGGGTATACTTTGGATCCAATATCAGGACAATACTGCATTGATATAGACGAGTGTGCGAATGGTACTCATGAATGTACTCCTGATCAAACGTGCGAAAATAAGTTAGGTGGTTACGCTTGCATATGTCCAGCCGGACATGTCGCTGGACCGAATAAAGACTGTGTCGATATCGACGAATGTAGTCTTTATGGTAATGTATGCGGATCAAATAGTCAATGCGAGAATACCGTTGGCTCTTTCCGATGCAATTGTGAGAATGGTTTTGAAAATGCTGGTGGTTTTTCTGGTTGCCAGGTGAATTATAAACATTAATTTTATTTCCTTTAAAAATTTGGTTTTCTGTTTAGTTTTTCTATTATTATTCTTGATTATTTAAAAATAATTGTTAAAAATTAATTGCTTAATGATTTAAATATGAGAAAATGTTCAAAAGTATAAAGTTAAAGAATTGTAGACAGACATTAGAATGTATTCGAAAAAGTCAATTTCTGGAACCTTCTAATGCATTGGTTATCAACGGATGAGTCATGATCTCTAAAGGGGATACAGTGTTCTTTCTGGAAGATCGTGATATTTATATTTAATTGCTGATTCTTAGCATTTATTTATTTTAATATAGTAATATCATTTTATTGAATAAGAATGTGTATTAGTAGAGACAAATAAGTGGAATTACTTCTTTTTAATACGTTTTCTTCGCCCTATTAAATTTATCTTACCCTATATATTCTAAAGACTATTCTAAAAGAGAATCGCGACCTAATTAATATTTTTAATATAAAAATACATAATCAAATTACTTCCATCATTTTCTAATTAACAATAATTTCAGGATATCGATGAATGTCAACGAACCCCTGGTTTATGCCAACACATGTGCTTCAATACATGGGGTAGCTACAAATGTTCCTGTAAACCTGGATTCAGGCTAAATTCTGATAATCGTTCTTGCACAGACGTCGACGAATGCACGGAATTTAAAGACAAGCATTTGTGTGTAGGAATTTGCGAAAATACACCAGGTAGTTATGCTTGCAAGTGCCCAGATGGTTATAAGCTCGGACTTAATAGTCGCACTTGTGAAGGTACGTTAGTCATTTATAATTTTTTTTAATTTTACCCTTATAAATTATATAGAAAGTATGGTTATAACAATAATATAACTGTGACATGAGATGATTTCTTACATATACTTTTATTACTTACAGTATCGATCTTGTGTGATATGATAGATAAAGATTAAAGTAAATATCGAGTTTATGTGAATTTTGTAACATTATAAAATCAGTTTTTTCGAAAACAAAGCTTTAAATAAAATTAAAATTGTATTCTGTCATAATTTTGATCTATTTTTTCACGAGCAATTACTCTATATTTAATTATACCATGATTTTTAATATATATTATTTTGAACCTTTGTTATATACTTCTATATACTTTTTCAAAGTCTAAAACTTTGTACAAAATAGTATATTCTTAGAAAAAGATACAAATTTTCATTGGAAGGTTAAACTAGTAAAACGTTATATGCACGTTGGGCACTCTTGGTTTATTAACGCGTGTTCTACCACCATTATCTTACAATTACGTAGTCCAGTTTGTACTTGACCTAGTCATCAAAAATCTGGGCCATTAGTTGAAACTCAAGTTATTTCTTATGTCCTTGACTTTCTTACGATCCTAACATTATATTTCCGTTAAAATGATCGACTGTTTCCTTTTTCCAAGACATTGACGAATGTCAGGCAGGACCAATCTGCAGAGGGCCAGATGAAATTTGTCACAATACCAGAGGTGGCTACCGTTGTAATAAAATAAGTTGTCCTTCAGGATATCGTCGTGATCCTGAAAAGAAGAAGTAAGTACAGTTTTCTTACTAATCTAATCTATGATAAAGAATATTGTTTCTCGGGATGTTAATATCGCAAAAATTTTAAACAATTATAATTTTTGGAATAAAATTATATTTTATCGTTCAAAAAGTAAGAGCCGATTAATTACACTGTTCAACGTGAATTTTAATCTGAAGTATCTATTGGGTAATTCTTATAGAGTTTACATTCCTAAAAACGAATCTGTAATCGAAATTGCTCTATCACCCACGGTTTTCGAAAATTGTGAGTTTTTCTAAAAACGGAGGTTTATTCTTATCTTAAAAGTTAGGTGAGAGTATCTCGAGTTAACCAATGTCCATAATTATAATTATTTGTATTCCTTAATATTTATAATTGGTTATCAAAATCTAAAAATAAGTCGCCTAATGTATTCTATATGGAATATCCGTGCATTTCTTCAAAAAGTTCTTTACGTGACACAAACGTGTCATACGGTATCGTATTTTATAGGCTTTCCTGAAGAAGAAACTATAGAATAGAATTGTCGAAATAGTTTTCAATTCGATTAGATCGAGAAAATATTCGTCGATATACAGGATTTTACCGTCACGCAGCCATTGCTCGCTCCCTTAACCTTGACAGTGTCGTAACTACGCGTAATCCCAATACCAAGTACAATAGATTTAACATATAACACTGAACGAAAAAAAAAGAAAATGCAATTCATTATGATTTTACATATAAACGACATAAATATATATGCATCTCTTTTTTGTATTTACATTAATGTTATTTATTCATTGCTTTGGTCTCCGTTTGTGATTTCTATACTATCCAAATTCTAAAACAACCAATAGCATATTAATTAATGTAGGATCGTATTTGGATGGATTGACGTAAAATAGTATAATTACTGTTTGTTCTTTTATGTTATTGTAAAAATAGCAAGAGATGAAAAAAATATGTCTAAAATGTGCAGCAAAATGTCGAACGCAGTATGACTCCTGTTAATAAATAAATATGATATACCCCTAATGAAACCCGTTGATACGGCACTAATTCCTTCAATAAGATAGAAAAAGATAAAAGTTCAAGCGACATTTGATCAGCGCCATCTATGATTTTGGACCGAAAGCTCAAGAAAGTAACAGAAATACAGAATGTACAAGGAGATCATCTCTGTCATTTTCTAACCGCTTGCTGTTCTTGTCTATCACATGATTAGGCGTCAGACGACCTCCTTGCGCATTCTATGTTCCTATTACTTTTTCGAACTTTGAGTTAAAAATCATAGATGGCGCTGATCGAATGTCGCTTCAGTTTCTATCTTTGTCTAATTTATTAAGTATTAGCGCGGTATAACTGATTGTATTGGAACATATTGAGTATATTTTTTGAATGGACTAATAGCAGGTTTCCCCTTTTAATTTTGTAGCGGTATGTTAAGATAATACAAAATAAATTTGACATAAAAACACTGAATGGAGCTATATAGTTTGTAGACGAGCAACTCAAATGATTGCTATGGTTATGAATATAGTTATGAATTTTTTTTATGTTTAATTTATTGGCTTGATGAATACCTTCTCTGAACAGGCTTAGCTCCCGCTGTTTGTTATACTTAATAAGCAAACATCATTTTCCAAAACTTTTACGCCTACAAAATTGGCGTTGGCATGAAATCCTTTGCCAATGTTGGGAATTTTCTATTAGGCGAACATAATATGAAAGGAGGTTGTTCGATGATAGGATTCCAAGAAATGACGTCATTTCCGAATTCCGAAAACTTTCACTGACCGGTGAAGAATATTTGACCAATTTTGTATTTTTATATGATAGGAGGTCGCTTAACGACAGAATTCCAAGAATTCTTTGGACAATACTTTTGCAGCCATGGTGTAAAATTTACGGCCAATTGTAGGATTTTGTATTAGGATAACATAACATGGAAGAAAGTCGCTCGTCGACAAAATTCTAAGAAATTATATCATTTACACGAATTCTGACCATGCATACTTCTCAGCGTTTTCGTGAATATTTTTGTGAAAACAATTTTTAGAAAACGATACCAATTACCAGATCTCACCATCAAGTTGGCTACGCATCGAGATACGGACATGCATCCTAGAAGCGCATCCTACTGGTGCTATCCGTATCAAAGATACCCTAATCTAACTTAGAGCGAAAAAAGTTAAGGCGAATCTACTGACACTTTATTATATTTCGTGTCTTACAAAAGGGACTTCGACCCGGTATACTGAAACTCTATTGTCGCAGCACTAGGATATTTTATTTCAACAGACTCTAATACTTCCAAGTTGCCGTAAAGATAGGGAATAAAATATGCAAATCGGGAGCAAGTGAAAAATTGCGACGCACCTGAACGAGTTCGTGGTTATTCGAAAGACTAGTCTACGTGATATACTTTCATTTACAAGACAACTTCGTGCTTCGGCACCCTTTCGATTGAACCTAGCCCACCCAGCCACCACAGACCCCGCCATGACTTACTCGCGAACGAAGGTGGTTGACAAACCAGCGAGATATCGAAAATCAACCTGAAGGCCCCTAGCGAGACTCTGTAATCGGTCCACAGGGTAGAAACCAATTAAGGAATCATCCCTGGGGTCCAACCGCAGGCCCATATCCAGTCTCATGGCTACAGGGCCATTACCCCGGTCGTGTATGCGAACAATTTGTTATTAATAATAAATTTGATAATTTATACATGTTTTACAAACTAGTTATAATTATTCAAAAGCAGAGATGATTATAATTATGGTCATTGTTAACTTTGGTATTCTTTCACCTAACTTGAAAGATAACAATGAACCTCCTAACGTTCTTACTTTTTATTTAATTCTTCATTTTAACCAAAAATCGTGCTTCTTTAGAAAAATTCACATTTTTTGAAAACTGAGGGCGACAGAGCAATTTCAATTACAGATTCGTGTTCAGGAAAGTAAACTTTACAAGAATCTCCTAATGGATATTACAGATTAGAGAAAAAGTTAAAATTTCTTGGACAGTGTTATTAAAAAATCTAATGGATTTACATTATATATATATATATGTATGTGTGTATCGCGTAAGCGTATTAAGCATATTATATATGTGCTCATTATATGTAAAAATGATCTTTAATATAAACATAGTTTTTTGAATTTGAATAAGTAAGACAAAGTACTCTCAAATTAGGTAATACAAGTTAATTTATTCATTAAGGAACACATTGCTATGCAGAGAATATAAAAAAAAAATTGAAAATGGCAACTTAAATAATTAAATATCTATTATTTTAATTTCTAATTTTCAATATTATATATTTTCCTTAATAAGTAATGAGCTCTAACATTTTTCAGCCGGTGTGTGAAACTGTGGCCTTGTATTAACGACCTAACTTGCTATAGACAACCAGCGCATTATTCGTATAATTTTATCACTCTTGTGAGCATGTTACCAATTGCATCTAACAGACCAGAGGAACTGTTTAAAATGAAAGGATATCATCGACCTGGCTCAATGATGCAATTCAATATGGCATTTTTAGAAGCACGTGCGCCACCTGGTGTCCAACGTGCCACAGAATCATGTTTCGCATTAAAGAGACCTGAACCGTCAGAAGCTGTTTTAGTGATGACACGAAGTATAGCAGGTCCTCAGGAAATCGAACTTGATTTAACTATGGAGGTTTATCATAATACAATTTTTGCCGGAAGCGCAGTAGCAAAAATTTTGATTTTCGTTTCTCAGTACGAATTTTAATAAGAAAAAATCTAAAAGCACGACAAATGATTAAAAGAAAATTACGTATATCTGATTTGATATTTGGTTTAATGAGATTCTTTCATAGATTTAATAAAAATGCTGATATTTTAATTATTCTGTAAAATATCTATTTTCTCTACTTTTATTTCAAGATATATGCCTCAATTATAATACTGTGTAGTGTAACTGAAATTTCTAATTCAAATTTAAGCAAGCAAAATGTTTATATGGAATATAAATGTATACTACATTTTTCACATCATTTTATAAATTTATGAAAAAAATATTTTGCTATATTTTAAAACTTTTAGAATATGATTATATTATATACTTTTTGTTGCACTTTTACATGTACTATAGATGTTTCTTACAACTTACCACGAAAAATTTTTAAATAATACTTTTCTGACTTTGATGTAAAAAGAGAAGTATAAAAAAGATTAGGAATAGTATGTAAAAAAGTGAAATGAATCGTAACGAATGGAGCAATAATTTTACATTGTATTTTCGGTAAATAAGTTGATTTATATGTACATAGGGTATATTTGAGTTTGTACACGTGAGAAAACGAAATAAAATCACATTACTCGTTTTAAATTAACTTCCATCACGTTACTGTATTTTGTAAATATGTACCTTATCAAAATCGCAGTTTTATAATACGTTTCAATAGTGAAACGTTTTCCCTTTCGCTGTACCTAACAATAAGTCTATTGCTAGTAATCATACTTTATGTATGTATACAGCATTTTTTAAACAAATTTATCATATTCAATATATTTTGTTATCTGTGTCAAAAGTGACAAGATTTCTAAAATATTTATGAGATTACTATAATATATGTGATTGCATGTGATGGTAATATAATCCAAATTTAAATGATTTAAAAAATTCTGCATACACACATATAATATGAACATGTAAATATACGTGTAACTTTTTTTTCCATACCTAAATATTTGATTTCTCTTTCTTTCATAAGATGTATAACCTAACGAATTTGAGATCTTTAGCATTAATTGCTATCTAGTTGCACAAAACAGCTGCAGCATAAATTGTGATTAACAATATTAAGAAAAATATTGATAAAAAATAAAATACAGTTAACAGAATATAATTCATGCCGATCCAAACTGATACACACCTACTTGTAAAGTATAGAAAGGTAAGTAACCATTAATAGCTGTTACCAACAATAATTGCAATTGAATACATATAATCGGTACTAAAACCAGTAATATCGATATTTGTAATAAGAATAGTAATAATAATAATAATAACAATAGTAATAGTAATAATATTAAAAATAATAATAATAATAATAATAATAATAATAATAATAAGTAATAATTTTAATATCGTTGTCACTATGTGCAACTCGATGATTTATAGAACAACTTAATGATATAATAAATTATCAATTGCATCGTCAAACAACAAATAACTAATTGGAAAACGATACTATGTTGTTCATAATAGTTATGACAATTACTAAATAATCATATAGAAACAAAATTTACGTAAACGTACGAAATATGAGAATTTATAACTATTTATCACCACTAAAAAATGATAACATGTAGTTGAAATCGATTATTTAATTGAATATGTGAACAATTTGACCAAACAACAATTTGTAATTTTTGATAACTTATAAATCTTTTATATCTTATGGAAGCGTAAAATTTTTTATAGATAATTAAATTAACTTTTCAATTTTTGCGAACGCTATTTATCACAAGCTATGTTCTCGCAATTATCGAAGTATGTAACCCTACTGTCACAACGAGTTATAAAAGCGTCGCTTTTTAGCTGCAGCTGTATATTACATAAAGACATACATTATAAATTTACTTGTCAAAAATAATTATTCCTTTTCGCTCCGCCGCTCATTTTCTAGTATTAACATTGTTACCACTATTAACATTGCATGTGAGATCCAAGTGAGATAACGAGTTTCTATGACATTGATAGATGCTTTCCATTCTTTGAAATAATCGTGACATTTTGTAGTACATATATTTCAATTGTATATTTGTACTTAAAAATATTTTTATGTTAAATGCTTATATATCTGCAACTTGCGTGGTGTCTTTGCATTGTAATTCAATTCTTATTTTATTTATAGGAAAGCACTTTAAATTGCTGTGTTTGATAAATGCATACTACTATTAAGTTTATAAAAGAATTCTATGCCGATATATTTTTAAAAGCAAGCATTAACGAGATTATTTAATCTATAAGGAAAGCATCCACCGGCATATTTTATAAAGAAATTGCCAATAACAATATTAATGCGCAACGTTATTAACAAATATAATAAGAATTATATTATATAGTAGCAATATATATTTATATATCATAGTATAATATATATAATAGTAGTAATATATTATTACTATTACTACTACTAATCATGATAATAAATAGCGTTATCTAATATAACACCCTGAATACAGCAACAATACGTTACTGTGGCGTTAATCAATGACAGTGTTGATACCCTTTTCACTCTTATTCCATTAAAAAACCGAGAAGTGAGTGTGACTAGGATCACTAAAGATCTTTAAATGTCTTAATTAAACAGAAATGAACAATTCCAAACTTCGAACGCTTCAAGTCAGTTTTCAATATTATTAACCGACTATTCTGACAGTTATGAAATTAAAGACATTTGAATTTGATACATATCTCAAATATAAAAGCTGATTTAGATAATTATGTTAAATTATAAATAGAAATTTATAAATTTATGTCAAACTTGAAAAAATATTTATTCGAATAATATCAGATCCATCTAATTTATGTTCTATACTGTTTGAATGATCAATAATTTGCGATTCGTTTGATAATATTCGATAGTAAGTTTTTTATTAATGATAAAAATATCATCTATTGAAGAAATAAAGAATTTGGCACTATATTTTCAAAATTTAATATTTAAGAAACTTTAATTTCATACAGCACTGAAAATGCTAACAGATAAGTATTAATTATATGCAATTTGAAAAATCGAATTAAATACTGTTTATTGTAATACCATTTCGTATCTGATTCGCATTTGCTTATTTTTTATTAATTCACCACAAAGGCATCAAAGCAGTGTTGTTTCGTCAATTTCGAACAATTAAGTATCAAACCGTATCAAAAACATGTCAAAACGGCACTATATAAACGTGATTCATAGTTGCATATTTTACGCCTATACAGTTTTATCTATCGCCATTCATTGTGATTTAAATATTAATTGTATCAAGTTTAATTTTTTATATGAAGTATACAGTCTATTAACTCATTACTCCGCCTACAAGGGGAACGCACGGTCATGGAATTTGATTTTGAAACGTCAATGGATTCAAGTTATAGTACATACTTGGTATTAGAAAACTCTAATAGATTTCTTCACAGTAGACCTTCATTCTTTACATATTTTAATTTAAAGTTTTATACGCGTATATAAGATGATTTTATGCAATCACATATTAAACGAAATAGTCGATGAGACTGTAAGTAGCGAGTGTCGAATTCGAATCCTTGACTAATGACTGTCAAGTTCAACTAATGCTCTTTTTTCGTTTAAACCTACTGTCGTTTCAAAAGCGATTTTCACAGCCGTGCGTCCCCCTCGTTAATCCTCGTAGAAACAAAATTTTAGTATAATTTACTATAAACAATGTATAATAATATGATTAAGTATAAGAATTACAAACTGATTAAAATGTCGGACAAAATATTCTTTTGCTTTTCGTTGAAGTCGTTGCAGATTATTTTATTTTGACTAATAACAAAATTTTTAATTTGTGAATGAATATATTAAGAAAAATGGAATATTGATAATTTTGTTTTTAAATTAAAAATTAAAAAACAAAATAGAAATAAATAAAATGATACTTATACAAAAATATTTACGAGGACTAATTATGTTAAATAAATGAGTTGTGTATATATTTTTAACAAATGAACGTTTGAAATGTTTGGCACCAAATTTATCAAAACAAAAGTATCACACACAACCTGATGCTATGCTTATATTAAAAAAATATTACATAGCAACACGTTTCACAATGATGTTTTAAATAGTAAAGCAAAGTGTATACTCTTCAAAATAGAAAACTGTTCAAGAAGGAAATAATCTACATTAAATTAATTAAAACATATGCGCAGTACGATTGTTCACAAGAAAAACAATGTGCGCTAGATCATATATAAACCAATTTAATTGGTCCACTTAACGTTACGTTTTCACTGCTGTCAGCATCAAATGATAGATGCAATTTGAAATCATTTATATCAGAGTTATTCAACTAGTGCTCCATTTAATTTTACTTCATTTCATTTGATGTTTTATCAGAAGATCAAACTTTCTTACATCAGATTAATCCAAAGTCTTAATTTACATTGGAAACAGACTTTTGTTCAATATAGGCACTTAGAATGTGAACATTTGAAATTTTACTACTTTTCTTAATAAATATTCCATTTTAGTTCACTTGTATCATTTTTTTATCGAATAATTTTTTTTATTACAAACTAGTTTATTATTGTAATAAAATATTAAAATAAATTTTTGTTTTCAATTTTACTATATTCTGCAGATAATAGTTTGTTATTTTACATTTATTGTTAATATGTATTAACAACAATGATTTAGAGCACGAAGTTGAGCAATCCTGATCTAATTTCTTGCAAAGGTAACAATACTTGCATTACGATATATTATCTATATTAAAACAAAATATTTAAAAAATGCTTTCAGTATATTATTAGTTTGTAGATATTTCGGAAGCATACTAACTCTTATTTCATTATTATACTATTTAAAGACTAAAACCGACTACAAGATAGTATTCACGTGTTATCACACAAATTGTATGTTCATTAATAAGTGAATGAACAAATACCATCTGAAAATCAAAGAATTGTGAGGAAAAAAAAATAGAAGTGTGCATATTGCACATTGTTTTAAAACTATTCCTTAAAAATAGACACTTATGTTTAATTCGAAGCAAATTCCCAATATCTTCGTCTAATTGTAGCTAAAAGAAAATATATATATATTTATAAGATATAAATTATTTCTAAAAATAACTGGTTGTTTTTGGAATAATATTAAGAAACATTATTACAAATGTTAAAGCACTATAAATCTTGATGCATGAAATTCATATTTGTATAAAAAATATATAAACTAATATAATAATGGAACAATAATATTGACATATTCACTAAAACCTTTTTCCATGTTGAATTGAACAAATTTTAAATTTGTGTGTTAACACTTAATTGTTCTCAATGTATGAAATCCCCTATAATATTAGTTTTGAAACTTATTAAATTAATATGATTTTAACAAGAGTATACACAGTAATACGCATTATTAAATGCAGCCTGATACTGCATTTAATAATGATTTCAGTTTCAAACTACTGTGCGCGTATCATCAACGATATAACTGCAAATACAATGTTCACAAAATGTGAAGAACGCAATGGTTTATACCTAAACCTTACCAATGTGTTTTATCACGGATATCAAGTCTAGAATTCTGTTAATCGTATTTAAAAGTATACGAAAACTTCTAAACTGCTTATAAAACTTCAAGGAACAAAAACGAGGTAAAACTGTGACCCTCATTTTGGAAATCAGTATTAATGTCACTCTGTGATCTACTTATTGATTTTGTCTAACCATACACAAAACATAATATATCACAACTTTGTTATATTTTTTATTAAAAAAAAAAAAAAAAATCCAAATTTTTTTATTTTTTTTTTAAAAAAAAAAAAAAAAATCCAAATTTTTTTATTTTTTTTTTAAAAAAAAAAAAAAAAATCCAAATTTTTTTATTTTTTTTTTAAAAAAAAAAAAAAAAATCCAAATTTTTTTATTTTTTTTTTAAAAAAAAAAAAAAAAATCCAAATTTTTTTATTTTTTTTTTAAAAAAAAAAAAAAAAATCCAAATTTTTTTATTTTTTTTTTAAAAAAAAAAAAAAAAATCCAAATTTTTTTATTTTTTTTTTAAAAAAAAAAAAAAAAATCCAAATTTTTTTATTTTTTTTTTAAAAAAAAAAAAAAAAATCCAAATTTTTTTATTTTTTTTTTAAAAAAAAAAAAAAAAATCCAAATTTTTTTATTTTTTTTTTAAAAAAAAAAAAAAAAATCCAAATTTTTTTATTTTTTTTTTAAAAAAAAAAAAAAAAATCCAAATTTTTTTATTTTTTTTTTAAAAAAAAAAAAAAAAATCCAAATTTTTTTATTTTTTTTTTAAAAAAAAAAAAAAAAATCCAAATTTTTTTATTTTTTTTTTAAAAAAAAAAAAAAAAATCCAAATTTTTTTATTTTTTTTTTAAAAAAAAAAAAAAAAATCCAAATTTTTTTATTTTTTTTTTAAAAAAAAAAAAAAAAATCCAAATTTTTTTATTTTTTTTTTAAAAAAAAAAAAAAAAATCCAAATTTTTTTATTTTTTTTTTAAAAAAAAAAAAAAAAATCCAAATTTTTTTATTTTTTTTTTAAAAAAAAAAAAAAAAATCCAAATTTTTTTATTTTTTTTTTAAAAAAAAAAAAAAAAATCCAAATTTTTTTATTTTTTTTTTAAAAAAAAAAAAAAAAATCCAAATTTTTTTATTTTTTTTTTAAAAAAAAAAAAAAAAATCCAAATTTTTTTATTTTTTTTTTAAAAAAAAAAAAAAAAATCCAAATTTTTTTATTTTTTTTTTAAAAAAAAAAAAAAAAATCCAAATTTTTTTATTTTTTTTTTAAAAAAAAAAAAAAAGAAAAAAAAAAGGGTAATCGATCGCACAATTCAAACATCATCTAACATTTGCCTGCATACATCTACTTAACAATGTCTTTCATTTAGCTGCACTCGATATGAACTAAATTCATAAGAAAGAGTCTATAAAAATTATATGCATGAAATACTTTAATTGCTAAATTTTTTCAATTTAACAATAAAGAATTTGTATAACATTATATTTTTTTTATTTTTCAATTACTCAATTTTGTATCTTAATTAATTATTTTGTTTTATCAATTTTATTATATAAAAATATGTATGTATTACAATGTAAAATTAATACTCGCTACTTTTAGACTTTTTTTTTATTAACAGTATGCAACAATATATGTTATTAAGTGTATGTATTACTTATACACTTTTTATTTATTTTTAAGTACTAAATTTTTATTTAGTATTTAATATTTTTAACGTCTCAAGAATCCAATGTAATGAAACAAAAATTTTGCATTTATTAACAGTTTTCACTAATACTACATTTTCTTCGTTCCAAAAAGCTTTTAAAATTAAATTTTTTCATGCAACGAACTTTCGTGCCCCAAAAATTATATTAATTATTAATAGAATATTTCAATATGTCCTTATAAAAATTAAATTGATGTTAAATATATATTGGAACTTTATCTATACATTTTTAAATAATAATAATAATCAATATACTATAATATCAAGGCAATCGTTTCATAGATATTAATATAATCTAAATAACTAAATCTAAATAAGTCTCGTATGTTGATGTATTATAACGAAATTTACAAACAGAAAAGAAAAAAACTGTAAATTATTTAAAAAATGATCTTTAAATGTATATTTTCCTAGATTCTCAAATTTATGAAGTACGTTAGGCAGTTTTTAAAATAAAAAAAAACAAAAAAACATATAAAAAATTGTACGAGTGCAGCTAATAGAACAGACAGTTTTCTGCATAAGACACAAATTTCAATCTTTATACGAATGACACATTTTGTGGCGTATCTTTGATAATACAAGCGATTGTATTATTATGCATTTCTGCGAATTCTCTAGATACTTTGTAAACGTAATATAAACGTTCGTAGATATCTGCTGTACAACCAAAATCTCGTATATCGTTCAACCAATATGAAGATGTACGTCTGCTGGTGTCGATATACGTAATTAAATATCCTTTGTTAGGGGACTCTTGTGAGACTACAAGTTTTGTATGATCTTGAAAGAAATTTACTTGTAAAAGGGGTACTGACAGTTCCATCATAATGATTTTATCAGTTCTTAACCATCTTCTCATTCTGGGTACACAAACATTCTTTGAGTGCTTTGGTGGAACTCGATGTTTTTTAATTTCACCACCTTAAACACAATTAATGAATAATTTTTAATTATCACCGTTTATTTTATAAACACAATTATAAAATTTAATAGAAGTACTTCTACAGATATAAATAGAAATCATAAAGTATTAAAATTGTATTAAATTAATATTCTTTCTCATTTCTTTGTTCTTTACTGACATATGTTTATATTTTTACATATTAACGAAATGTAAATATATGTAAATTAATGAAATTTATTTACAATAAAAAAATGTAAATAATATAATTAAATTATTATGCAGCTTTATTATTATTAATTACTCTTATGCAAATTAAAAATAAATCAAAGCAATATATACAATCTTTACCTAGTTCCATATTTTATAAATTATCAATATTTCTTTGCTGTATATTGTTTTTAAGTTAGTGTTGTACTAAATCTATTTATACTATCATTTATAACTTCTTATTTCTTTCTAATCTTATTTGTTTGCTACATCTAATATTTTGTCAAATATTATTCAAATTTTATCAAAATATAACTAATAAAATACGAAACTTTATAATTTTTCACACCTAACAATTTTTTATAGTAACAGAATGTTTTAAACCGATTTAATACATTAAAAAATCTAAATGTATAAATATATCATTTAAGAAATTTTTTAAATTAAATGGAACAATGTAGAAAGATTTGTGTCTTGTGATAATGTTAACATTGCATTAATAAATTGTATGAAATATGATTTACCTTCAGTCATAAATTTATTCATATATTGTGTAAAGCGTTGCAGAAGTACAAGTTTCTTCTGTAGAGTAGCTGGAACATCTTCCTCTCTATGATATCGCGTTACTTCGTCGTCAGTTGTTACATACTCCACCCTTCTTTGCAAATGGAAATATGTTTTTAAATAAGTTAAATACACAGTAAAAAAAAAAATGTTCAACCCTTTGCAGTATAAATTTGAAAACAACATTTTTGTCTAATTCATTTTCTTTTCCTTCAATTACAAAATGAATTACAACAATTCTACATACTAAAAAAATATACTATATTTTTTGTTGATATGATCAGAAGAAGCACGTACAAATTAGATTCATGCCAGATGGCTATTATATTGAATAATATTTTTTTTTTTACTTGATAACATAAGGAAAAAAGATTTTTTTTTCCTCTTAGATTAGACTAAAAGAAGAAAACATATCTAAAAATTATTGTGAACCACTTGGTTTTAATAAATAAATCGTCAAAAAGAATTTACATGAAAGGGTTAAAATGTACAATATTGAAACAAAATATACGGACCTTCTATCATGTGTGTAACTAATTTTTGTATGATCGTTGAAGAGAATGCCGACAGATTTGTCAGAAAGTTGAAAACCTAGGCCGTATTTGTTCGAATAATCGATCCATTTGGTGATAAACAAAGGCACGATATCCCTTACAGGCGGATGATTACGCAGCTTGTTCTTAAACTTTATTTCTGTGATACAGTTTTCTAGAGCTTGATGCATTTGCATACTTTGAGCTGTGTATCCCATTTTCTTATGATCTGGACAAAGAACGCTACTTAATCTTTGTCTGAATTTTGGAACTTCCCGAAACTTCCTGGCTAGCCAACTGATCAATTTTGATGCCTTTTGCAAGGTATGTTGAGAAAGATTTATTTCATCATCTTGCAGTTGCTCATGCAGTTGTTGAGATTGTTGAGTTGAATGAAACTGTAAATACAATAAAAAGATTAATCAAATATTGAATAAAATGATATTATTTATCAGTGAACAATATTTTATTAATATGGAAAAGTATCAAAATTAAAAATTAAAAATCATTCAGTTTTTGATTTATTCTTAAATTGAACATTATAGTGTAAATTTAATACTTGAAATTTCTTTAAACCAATATATTTAAATTATATTTTTAGTCCAGTCAAGTCGAAAATTTGAATATGTAATTTTTGAATCTCGTTATATTGGAATAATAGCATTATAAAAATGACATAAATAGCTTTTGCATACATTATAATTATTCGAAACTCTGTTCTTTTAATATAAATTAATTATGTATCAATTTATAAAATATCCTAGAATTTTGAATTTATGACTTGAAATCAATATTTTTATTTTACATATACAGAATGCAAATATAAATATCAAAATGCCCTAGATTTGATTAAATATTACGCAAAATGTAATTTATCATAAAATATATTTTTTATTCATTTATCATTATTTTTAATTATTATAAACTAATTGTAACTTTAAATGTTATTTTCTATAATTTCTTGACAATCTTTTCCTTAAAATTTTGTATGTATTTATTACTTCTTTATATAACATAAATAAAAAAATTGTTTTGAACAATAAAAATTTCCTTGTCAATTTTTAACATAAGCAAGAATATACGATAAAATTATTAATTTTTTATAATATCATGTGATTTAAGAGTTACATACTTGTGTATGTACTTAAATTTTGCAACCTCTTATTCTAATTACATATCACTGTACTACTATATTTCAATGCTGTATCTTTGTACTGATACCAGGTGGTTCATTTATAACAATTAATTTTTTCTTTTCAGATCAAAGTAGAAAATTGTATTTAATTACAATCATTTTCTCATGAGCAAATGAAAGTCTGGTTATAAAATGTGAAATATGTATGTATCAATCAAGCATCTGAGGTTGCTGTGTATTGATCACAGAGTCAGTATTGAATGCTCCCGTTATTTAACTCGCTGCAATTGTTCTTTTTTTTTATTTTTCAGTTTCAGGTATTTCCGATGTGAAACTTGACCTTTCAAAGTTGCTGCTGACTATCGACCAGTCGTTTTACTGTATCTATGGAACTAGAATTTCATCTGGTATTATTTTCTCTAGACAATTGTCGGAAACAGAAAGTTTCCTGTTCTGTTTGTAATAGGAACTTTCTCAGATTCATATAATTTTGAAGTAGGAAGACTTATTATTGATGTTATATCATTTTCCGGTACATTGAACTACGTCATGAAGACCACGTAAGACTACTTATTGCAATGATTTTTATCTCTTAGCAATTAATTTTATCTGCTCTTTTTTCGTGAACTAATTAACTTAATTTTAGTATTTCTATGCCATTACTCACTTTTTACAACACATTCACAACTTTTTATTACTTTGTAGAAAGGAAGCACTTACAGTTTCACAAGTTTTTATATAAGAAAAGTTGTTAAAATATATGAATTGTGTTTATACAATTAAAATATAAAACTAGGAAATTATTGCTTCTGATAACGTAAAAAATATAAATATTAAAATGACTTTAAAATATGATTAACAAAACTAATTATATATTGTAAAACATTAACTATTTACAAATAACATTGAAAAAATATTAAATATAAGATATAATTCAATGTAGAAAATACCTATGTCATTTATATAAAAGAAAATGTAAGTAGGCATATCTTCAAAACTCCTTAGCGTCAAGTTTAAAATATCCTGATGATTTGAATGAATTTTTATCTCAATTAAAAAAGGTGTAATTCTACAAATATAATTGTCCTTTAGTTTATTTAGATTTCTTATTATTCGAAAAATGTTAATGATAGCTTATTACTTGAAAATCATAAGTAAATATTTAATTTCTATTTTTCCTCCTTTTTTTTATAAAAACTGTTTCTAATTATTTTAATGACAATCTCCATTTCGAAATTAACTTCTCAATCAACTAATACACATAATTGCGTTGATACTAATGATTATAGATATAAAAAACAATCACCTGCACTATTTATATTACATTTTCAATACCTTCATATACTTTTTATTTATTCTCTTCAATTTATTCCCTTTAATATTTTTGATAGATGAATATAAATTATAAAAATTTTGAACAATAATAAAATGTTTAATAAATTAAAAGTTTAATGTGAAATACTCTTTTCCATAAATTTGCATCGATTTACATTAACAAATAAAGAACTATCTTCGTCAGTTGTTTTACCTGAGTATTATTAAATTTCTGATTTCTAGAATTAATGGAATTCGATGAAGGCGGTGACACGGGATTGATTACAGAGGCACGTGGCATTTGGTAGCAAGAAATAAGAGGCAAGGAAGTTGGTACATGTTCCTTGGTGAGATAAGCGTGTTCCTTAACCCTTTCCAAAGAAGGTCTGAGTTCAGGATTCGGCTGTAGAAGCCACTTGATGAGATCTTGCCCGTTTCGGCTCGCTATCGAATCGTCGACTTCTCGATAGTGATTGTTACATATCCTGTCGTAAGTTTCTTGCAGTGACGTCGTGTCGAAAGGCGGTTGCCCTACCAGCAGGGCGTAAAGTATGCATCCAAGTGCCCAAACATCCGCCTCGTAACTGTATGCTCGCTTATACAACACTTCCGGTGCGATGTAATTCGGTGTTCCGCATATCGTCCTATGAATATAAATGAATTATTACAATTTTATATATACAAACTACGGAGCTAATCATCATTCTTAAGTCGTAGAAAAATACATATACGTTCCCGTTACGCGTACGTTGGGTAAACAGTAGCGGTATGCGGGATCCCGAGATTTCGGATTCGGGACGAGACAAATGAGGCAAAGTTCAAGCGGAATCGGATCGAAATTCCAAATCGCATGTCAAATCTCGGGTCTCGAAACTTTCGAAATCCCGCCCAAAACGGGTATATCGACATCTCGCCCGATCCCGCTCGAACTTTGCCGTCTCGTCACGAACTGGTAAGAGGTTATCCGGCGGTCTGTGTCTAATTTGCGAGTAGCAGCATAGAAGGCGCTATGAGCGAAATTTATTGAAATATTTAAATTCAATAAACAATTTACTTATTTATTATGTCTAAATGGGATGACAACTCATTAGTATAGGAAATAATAATAATGAGGTACAAATATATGGAGAAAACTGAAGGAAAAAATGTAAAATGAAGTGAAAAATCGAAATTTAAAAATTGAGGTTAAAGTTAACTTAATACATGATATATCAATTGTTTCAGGGATTGAAGCAATTATTTGTTGAAGTAAATGAAACCAACATGTTGGTTTTTAATATCCAAAATGGAAATGTGACAAAATGCTTAAATAATTTGACTTTTTAAATAATATATATATCGTATATGCATTATAGAGTTAAGATAAGACATATGCATATACAATTCATCCTGCAGTCGATGTGTTAATTAAAATCGTGTTGAAACTTAATTGCAGATACTGACACGGTGATCGAATTTAATTAAAGTGTTTATATCAAAATAAACAGCCATGTTCGTAAAATTCTCGATACCTTTTATATTATAGTAATTATAATAATTAATCATTTTAATATTATTGTAGTTATACTTTCACCATCAAAGTAATATTATAACAGTAATTACATCCACTAAATGCACCATAAAATACTTAAAAATACTTAATACTAAAATACTTAATAAGTTATATATCATGTACAATCTTCATTTACCATGCGTTCCTTAATATTTTTATTATATTTGCGTATGCAAAGAATTGTACCATGACAAATTTTGTTCAAAACCAGGAATATTATAATTCATAATTCTGTCAAGATTACTTCTTTCCCAAGTTTTCAAGGTGATCGCCAGTGTTTGCATATTAACATGTGCTTCTTGCGATGCAACGTTGCAGTACACGTTGAAGCAACGACTTGTTACACCATCACTTCCAAATGACCTTGAAGGACAAATCTGGATACTTAAGAAGAAGTTAAGAAGCTCAACATTCTTTGTCATTTGTATAAAATTTGTTCGTTCTGCAACAAATATTTGGTCTCAGAGAAGAATTTCACACGTTTCCAATACTATTCCTTCATTGATGATCGATCATGCTAAGAAATGCTTCGTATACTGTATTCAAAAACAACTTGAAAACAATGAAAATAATTCTGAACATTTATTGCAGTATAAACAAATTTCGCAGAAAAGACAAAGAATTCGAAGCTTTTTCATTCGCGATTTTCATTCAAGGTCATTTACAAATAAGTACACTATAATGTTGCGTTATGAACATTATATTAATGCGCAAAAAATGTCTATAGCCTTAAACTCAAAAAAAAAAAAGAAGGATCTAAAACAAAGAATTATATATGATATTTCCTACTTCAATTATCTGTCATAACAAAATGTAATGAAGATATTAAAGAATTCTAAGTAAACAAAGTATCTAGTATGCATGTTACAATCTACTTGAAATAAATGAAGTTAATTAAAAACATGTTGAGACTGAATCGTTAAAGTTTGATTAAAATCTAATTATTTCGATTTTATGTGAAACATGAAAAATAACAATTAATGGAGAAATTAATTATTTCGGTAAAGATGGCCGATACGCAGAAATATGAATAACTTGTAAAAACTGCAAATAATTAAAAAAGTTTTTAGTAATTACAAGAAATCGTACGTGTGTTTAATTTAAATGTAAATTAGTATTCTGTGCTCATAACGGATGAGCGAAAGTTGCTGTTCTTTGAGTCTATATAGACATAAGAAACACGTAAATTTCTATTCGTGCCCGAACGACGCTTTTTTAATATAAATGTAAATGAGAAAGGATTACATGTAACGTACATAAATATAAAATGCAACAGATAAAGCAACCTTAATGATGAGAAAATAAGAAATAATCGTTTCATACATATTAATTATATGGTCGTTAAAAATGAGAGTCATTTCGTATTCGGTGACAAGGGTGTTATGTTAATGATAAAATTAGGAAACCAACTTTCTCCGTTAATCTCCATATTAACCTCTTGCGAATGTGAGGTGTTTTTCGTTCGTTTTCGGTTAATAAATCTAAGTCGAAAAATAACGGAGCATAGAATAACAGCTATTTAATAATAATTGTGAAAGTGGTTTAGTAGAATAATTATGATTAGTACTAATTTATTTAATATATTTAATGTTATTATTGCATAATATATTGTAATATAATACACTTCATGATAATTAATAATTTAATAATTTAAAAGAATCAAAATTTGAAAGAAATGAATTTATCATGTATTTTGTGTTTCATGCAACTATTGCAATACTGTAAAACGATCTTCTCGAAGTAGGAGGAAATTAAGCAGTTAAATTGTTGCTAGACTCACTCTCTGTATGCTTGTATAATCTTTGCCTATTGTATAACTCTACAAAATATTATTTAAACTAGAGCTTCCTTGTAAAAATATTAAATTATGGCCCATGAGTTCTTATAATTGCAGTTGAAGGTGAATACATCCCAATAATTTTAAAAATTATTCACGTTTACTATGATAATAAATAAAGTAATTGAACATTTTCTTAATTATTAATTTTATTAATTTAATGAATTAATTTATTAATTTATTTATTGATTTTAATCATTTTATTTTTATTCGATACTTTTCTGACAATTTTTGTCATGTGTTTAATTTTCAAAAATTAAAATTAAATTAAAAATTATCACATACTTCTCCAGAATTTCGAATGTTTAATAAAATGCAATGTTTTTGAATATTTCGAAGATTCTAATTCAGCTGTTAGATAAAATTAAATAAAATAAAAATATGATTTTATGAAAATTTATATATAATCGCTATAGGTATATTTAATTGTATAAAATATATTTTTATATCAATTATATTAAGTATACTTTGTTAGACCTTTATAAATACCAAAGATATTAAATATACTATAATTGAACGTAAATAGTTAAATTTATCATATATTAATTTATCTATTTGTTAATTTAAAGATAAATAGAAATTTCAAGAATAAAATTTTAACTACGCTATTTGTATTTTTGAAAAGTACTTTCTTGGTAATGTATCCATTATAACTACTTTTGCAGTTCAGAGTTTCTCGATTTGGATTTTATTCAACATATTTTTAAAGTAATTGGTTGGAAATTTAAAAGATAAAATTACAATCGATAAATTTATATAAAACACTTCACAAAAGGAAAATTTATTGATTAAATAAATAAAATTGAGATCAAACAAATAAGTAGAAGATATTTTATTTATTTAAAAAAAAAAAATCAATGAACCTTATAGTTATCTCAGAAGATTCAATAAAGTGTAAACATATTTAGAACATCAGATTTATACACTTTAATATACCCATGGTAATTGTTTATATACTTTCATCAAATTGTGTTTATAGTTGATGCGAATTTCGTGTATATACAAAATTATTATCTTTTTAAGTGTGTTTTATTTTAACTGATAAATGACTTAGTGTTTATAAAATAATCAAAATCATTGAACTTGAATTTAATGACATAAATTTTTATAATTGATTGCATTTATCTTTAAAAAACTGATGCAAGTATTCTCCGATTATCAAATTAGAATTACTCATCCTCGTAATTACTATTAACAATGAAATGAAATTAAATATTTTCATTTGAAAATGAACTGATTATTTAGAGTATATTGCAAATAAAATTATTGCAAATTATTGTAAGATGTATATAACATATTTATTGTTTAAAAAAATTAATTAAGAAAATATATATGTATACATGGTGTCCAATTTTAATCTATAAATGTAAATTACTACTCACGGTATAAAAAAGATAGATTAAGCAAAATTAAATGATTTCGAGACAGAGAGTATTTTATCTATTCAATTTTTTATAGATGAAGGAATTACGTATATGAAGACCAACTTTAATTTTTCAAATGGGAACATAGGTGTATTTCTTACAAAAAAAATAACGCTACTCATCTTGAAAATCACTAGTTTAAGAAATGCTTTTCTATATATCGAAAAATGGTAATAGTATAGATACCGATTGTAGTGGGGGTAATTTGAATTTAACATCTATGAACATCAAAATTTTTAAGTACACGTTTAATTTTGCCTGTTTAATATCACAAATTCTTCGATATAAAAATACGTAAAATGATTTTAAAAACTTATTAAACTAAAATCTATCCAAAATAGTACCCACATGTATAAATTCCAAAATAATAAACTATTTCAGGTTTATTAAAAATAATAAACTGGAGTTGCACCGATTAATTAATTACGAAATATATTTTCATTTAAATAAACATCTCAAAGTTGACCTTCATATGACTTCTATTTGTCCATCTACAAAAACACTAATTATACTAAACCATATCCCTCTCCAAACCATTCAGTTTTTATTGAAACTATTTATGTATATAGCTATTAGTTTACGAATAATTTTTATTCATATATTAAATGTGAACATCCTGTATATATAAGTAATTTTATTTACAATATACAGTAGAATTCGGATAATCCAGCATTAGAATTATTATTAATTAATCATAAATTATTATTCATATCCAGTATTAGGTATAAATTATACCTATTAAATATTAGATTATAACCTAATTTTACCTATTGCGGTAAAAAAAGAAGAAAATAATTTAAAAGACCAATTATTATTAATATAGTAATGTAA